GAGACATTCCTCTTTGTTTGGAAGACTTTTCGCTGTGATCTCCAGCAGACACACCTCAAGTTTCAATCCCAGCCTCGCACTCCTGCTCCTTATTCAAGACCGTGACCTGCGACCTTCAAGGTCAGACATCTCTAATCCCAAGAACAACATCTCTCTAGTCAACAGGGGGATCTCTCTCTCTCTCTCTCTCCAAATTCCTTGGATCTGGCTGCACAAATCCCTCCTTCTCCGAGAAAGGCAAAAAAAAATCCCACCGCTTTAGTAAAAATAATATATGAGGGGTAATGGCTCTGGGGGTGGGGTAGGGAGAAGAGACCTTAAAAGGCCCCCATCTCCCATGGATGCAAACTAAAGAGTTCAGGATGGTGCCACAACTTGCCTTTGCTCTGTCAGAGGGAAAAGATGCCGAGCTCTGCTGCTGCACCCATGGTCTCGTTTTGCTCTTGTGATTCACCTCTTGATTTTGGGGCCTCTTAATTTGATTTCTTTATCTAAAGACCCACACGACCCCCAGAGCACTGGAACAATCTGGAACTGAAGGTTTTGAGGGGTTCTTTTTTTGCACTATTTGAGATCCAGATCTTCAGAGGGACTGGAAAAGGGGAGGTTGTATTGTCAAGGGCGTGAAATGATGACACTACAGAGAGGAGAACTATAAATCCAGGAGCCAAAGGTTCCCTGACATGGGCCAGAGGGGTAAGAGGGAGAGGAGGGCTCATGTCCATCCACTTCCAAGGGGAGTTAAGCCGTGGATTTGCTCTTGTATTTTTCCCTGTCTGGATTTCCAGTGCCGCTTTCCTCTTCTTTTACCTCCTTCTCCCCCCAACAAGCTCCTGCTTCAGATTCCGAAAAGGACGAGTAATTAGAAGCAACACGTCTGAGGAGCTTCTCCCACTGGAATTGGATGGGGATTTTTCTGCATGGACAGCTGGGCCTACATGGGAGCTGTTGGGATGTCCCACAGCCAGGAAACCCTCAGGACAAACCAGCCTCAGCACCTTCCTGCAGAGAGTGGAGCTGCGGAGGGACTTTCCCCACCATCATGGGGGTCCCAAGGACTTTTAAAGAGCCGAAAATCCCCCTAGCTCAAAAATGAGACTTCAGCTCCAGATGGCCAGCAAATCCTGCGGTTTAAGGTCGTGAATCAGCTCCTGTTGCAAGGTTTGAACGTTTATATTCGTACTAAACCCGGAGGGGTCTCTTTGCTGAGAAATGCAGCCAGGGGAGAAAGGGACGGAGAGTTAAGGGATGAAATGAAACCTTGTCCTGGGATTCGGGTTGTAAAAAGTTGTTAACTGGTAGTTTTCAGGCTCTGGAGATGTAAAGTGACTTTTAAGAGAAGGTTTCTCAATGAACCGGAGTCACAAGGCTATTGCCGGGGGTGTCCCGTGCTCCCTGGGAGGGGCATCGGGATGCTTGGACCGAAGCCGGTCGCTTCCCGAACCGGTGGCAAAGCCCGTTAAAACCTGCGCCAGCAAACCTGGAGAGGGAGCGTTTTGGGTTGTTTCTCATAGGATTTGTATTATGTAGCAAAATTCACTGCGTGCCCCCCACCCCCGACCCACCCCCCCACTATGGTAGCGGCGGGGCTTCAGCGTGAAAACCCGAACGCGAAGTAAGTTTAGTCAAGGGCGCCATGGTGGGGAGGGGAAATCGGCTGAAATCACGTCCAGGAGCGATTGTCAGGATTTGGCCCGGAGTAAGAGGAAGCAAAGCCCCTACCGGCTTTAACGGCTTGTACTTAGCCCCGACTCTTCAGCGGTGATAATATCCCGAGCATCCCCCAGCCTCCCTGAGGAGGTCCCTGTGTCAACCCGCGAGGTTTTTCATAAGAAAACCTCTCATGAGGGCCGAGAGTCCTTGCCAGGGGATGATCATATCCCTTGTCCTCTTCCCCGCGGGGAGCGCAGCCCGCGGGATGCAGCTGCCTTTTTCTTCTTGCTTTTCCAACAGATATCTTCACTCCTTTTAGCTGAGATACCCTGAAACCACAGTTCTGGATTTTCCCTTTAACAGTCCTGCTCCAATTTATCGTTCCCATTCCCCTTCCTGATTTCCCGAAAGCTCCCGGTAATGGAAAGATGGTAACGACAAGGGACCAAGTACACGGAGGGGACCGGGGGGCTGGGGGGGGGACTGTCACGACGGGTCCCTCTCAGGCACACGCTAGTTTTGTCCTCCAGCTTGCTGGAAGCACCCACGGATTACACTTCGGGTCAGTGCGCAAAGCGGGTCGGACTGTGGTTCCTAGGGGAAGAGAACGACGGAGGCTGAAGGGCAAAGTGTCGTGTCCGCTCCTTCCCACGAACACCGCAGTGCAGGATCCGACCGTGGAGGAGGAAAGGTTCATTTGTAATTAGGCGAAGGCCCGTTATGAGAGCGAGTGGGGAACCTGTTGCAATAGATGGGAGGCAGAAAGGAGATGAAATGGGGGGAAACACCACAATTTCACCACCCGCGATTGGGGCTCGGAGAAGTGCGGGGTCCTTCACTGGGCAGGAGGAGCGCCGAGGCTGGAGGAGGCTGGAAAGAAAGGGGAGAACACCCGCCGAGGCTCGGAGCTCTCAGAAATGTGCCCGCGCTCTTCTTCCCTCGTGTTTTATAGTAGGGGGTTGACTGGGTTTGCTTTGGGGTCTTTTTTTTTCCGCTGTGAGGTTTTGGTTTATATTTAATGGTTTCCGAAATCTGTAAACCCCCACTCCTCCTTCTGTCATTTTATTATTACTATTGCCAGTTAGTACCTATTTAAATCGGCCTATTCTTTATATTTTTGTGAATATGTCGCGAATATAGAAACAGATGCAACTACAAAATGCTTTAGTAGGTTTCCAGCAGCACCCAGTCCCCGTAGGCTCATTTCCAGAAGGGAAAGTGTATTACAAGTGGTGAAATTGGGTAAACAGATTCTACCGAAGAGCCAAATCTCCCCTTTTCTCAATGCTTTCAGTCCGAGCCGTGCTGGAAGCGGTGCATCCATCCATGGGAAAGCTGCCGATGCGGTTGAGGTTCGGTTCCTTTTCTCCTTTGCGGTGTCAGTCCTGAGGAGGACTGTGCCACAAACCATCTTTTTTTTCTTAAAGATAGAGTCAGGATTAATTCACGTTGATTGTTAAATAGTCCTGTGCAGCCGAGCGTTTCATCCTGCGTTTAAATGCTTTCTGGATCCAGCCTAGGAAACCCAGCTTTCCCTTGTGCTGGACATGCCCTCAGACAGCCCCCAAAGTGGGGAGATCCCCTCCAAGCCTTTGCGGCCCCAGTCACCGCTCAAGAACTCGGATTCCTGCTGGAAAACGGTCGGAAAAATAAGTTAGTTGAGTCGGAACATGAGGAATACACCGAGAGGGTGAGGAGCTGGTCTGCCTTTAATTCTAATATATAGCGTTTAATATTTGCTGTGCGCAGCCTGCAGGCAAGGTGCGAGGCAAGGGGTAAAGGCTTCGAGCGCGGCTTGCAAAGGCCGGGCTCAGCCTGGGGAGCGGGACGTCAGCTCTTCCCACGCCTCTTTCTCCTCTACTTGATGTTTTTGGGACGGGTTTGCACGCATTGGCACAGCCGCAGGCTCCCGCTTCACCTCTGCAAGGGGCTTTCCCAAAATAACCCCCCATACCCTAAATGGGGGGGCTGGAAATAGAGATGTGAGGGAACCGTCCGGGAAACGGGAGAGGGGGTGCGCGACGGGAAAGCGGCTGGAGCTGCCGGTCTTTACATTAAAAAATACGCTCGCACACATCCCGCAAACGGTGAAGTTCCCCATTAAAACTGACACCAGGGGATGGTCTCAGCAGCCTCGGCCGCCCTGGATTGGTGAGACGCCTGCAGACGCCTTTTCCAACAGATAAGTCAATCGTCAGAGACCTCCCCCCGCTCCCCCCCAACCCCAAAATATCTTCTTTGCAAAGCCCCAGCCCGCTCCTTCCCCGGCTGCCGCTCCCCCCTTCTTCACCAGCATCTCCTCTCTCCCTGCCCTCCCCTATTGCAAAATGGGGGGGGCGGGGGGGGGGAAGGGGGTATCCCCCGCTCACCTCCTTTGCAGATAGAAATGAGCAGCCAGCAGCCAGGACTGCGAATCCTGCCTCCCCCTCCAAGTTTGGGGTCCCCCCCGTAGCACAGAGGGGCTGGTCCTGCCAGGGCAGCGAGGCTGGAACACCCCTGGTACCCCTTCGACATCCCCCGACTCGGGGGGGGGGGTGTGTCACGTCGGAGAGCGGCTCCCCACTTATTACCCACCGCGGTTTCTGGGGTGCCCCTCAGGTCTCCCCTACCCGGGAAGGGGCTCGCACCGGCTGAGGAGCAGGCTGCCAAAGGAGGGGGTGAGGAGAAAGCCCTGTGCTGGAGACTTATGGACCGGGGCGGGGGGGCCGAAAAAGAGAAGATAAAGTCCGGAGGGGTGTGGGGGATGTTGTTCCTTTATCCCTTTTCCCTTTTTCCTTTTTCTCTTTCCCTTTTTCCCTTTTTCCCTTGCGGCAGGAAGCTCCATCTTTAGGCAGGTCTAAAGATGCTAAAAGATCACCAGACCTAGAAGGTGAGTAAACCAAATCAATAAAATACTAAACTCCCCTCCCCTTGCTTTCTAGCAGAAGGCGGCGAGCACGCAGGAACCAGGGAGGAGGGGGAAGCAGCCTGCAATTTGCCGTCAAAACAGTGATTTTGTCTAGACAGGGGAAGGGAAGGTGTGGGGCTCTTCCTCTCCCCCCCCCCCCTTGCTAACACAATAGCTCTTTGGTTAAAAATTAATTTACAGCGCTCTCGCTTTCAATCCAGTTTAGCGTTCAGCCGGGAGGACTCCCTAGGATTAACCAATAATAATAGTAATCATTTAAAAATCAAATCAGCCGGAGCTGGGGTTGGGCTCTAACAAGTGGTGGAAGGATTCCTCTGCGGAGGAGAGGCGCTGCCGTGATTTATTTATTTCCCTGGTGTGTTTAAGAGGGAGGGAAGGAAGACAGAGAGGAGAGGCACGGGCAGGTAAGTGAGCGCTGGGTTCGGCCTTGCGGGAGGCGTTTTCCTAACGTGTCGGTTCTCTATAATTTCCCACACGTAGCTTCCCGAGAATACTTTGTCCTCTTCTTCCTTGAGGATGCTTTATCCTCTTCCTCAGCTGCCGACGCCTGTGTAGCAAACTGTTAGCCCGGCTCCTTTCGGAGAGCGAGCAGACTCGTTTTTCTTCCCTCTTCTTTATTTTTTTTCCATCAGAATTCCATGCTCCGTCTTCCAAAAACCCTGAAGCTCTCTTTTAAAACAGATCGGAGGGAAAGCCGCGTTCTTCGTATTCCCCTACTCCACCCGCCTCTTTCTCTGCTGGGAGTTTTGACTCTTATTTTGTAATAATTGGTTCGGCTCTTCATCATTAGCATCACTTCTTTATTTCTCTATATGAATAAATCCACCGACCTGCGCCATGGACCCGGGGATTTGGGCTCCAGTTTAGCGCAGAGAAATCCTCGTCGGCTCGAAGGCTTATGGAATAAATCCCCGCATTTCAGCCTCTATAATAGGAATATAGTAATAGTAAAATAGTTTCAGTGATAGTAATCCAACCCACGCTTTCTACTTACATGACTCTACCGTGTGCAGGATTCTCCTTTCTCCCTCTTCCTCCCTCTCTGCTGACTCCGAGCCCTGCGGGATGGGGAGGAAGGCTTCTTCCTAGGCATGAAACGGGAAGGTCATTCCGGCAGGATTGTCAAGTCCACTTGAAGAGGGGGCTCAGCCTTTTCATGTTCCTTTGGGTTTCTCTCCGTCCGTGTAAACTCGCGTCCGTCCGCAGCGAGAGCTGGGAGAGCACTTGTGCCATAATGAGGTACCTTTACATTTAATTTCCTGTCCCTCCCCTGCTTTATGGATTTCTGATAACAATGTTGAAAACCAGAGAAGAAACCTATTTAAGTCTCCGGGACAGAGGGCTTCTGTAAATAATTGAAGGGAGCTAGGCTTAATTGAATTTCCCAACGAATGTATGGAACAGGGACAAATGGAATAATTTATTTAAGATGTTGGATATATTCCTGTCGATAATTTCAAGCGAGTATTTATTAACATTGCTCATTTCCTCTCCCTTTTTTTTCCCCGATGGAAAGCTCTTGCAAAGCTTTAAATGTAATTAAAAATCCTCCGAAATAGACCAAAGGAAAAAATTCCTAAAACAAAAAAAAAAAAAACCAAAAAACCTGTCCTGAAAATTATTAAACCGAAGATTTTTAGTGATATTTTGTTACCATGGGAATATATGGGGCAAAATGAATCCTCGCACGAGTTGCGGGATCTGTAACGACCTTGGCAAAGTAAAAGGTTTAATTCAGGAAAGTTGAATGTTCTTGATCGAGCGATTTATCTCCCCGTAGGCTTCTCCAACATATTTTGCTCATTTATGTTATTTAATGACAGCCAACGTAAGGTTTCTGACTCTTCTATACCTGTAAAAATGACTTTTTAAGGCTTAGCAACCAACCGCTCCTCCCAAAGCCTCTATTGCTGATTAAAGGAAGATTCATTTGACCAACTCCAAAACTTTACCGCATGTCTGAAGACTAATTAATGTTTCACCCTACAAGTGAAGCCGCTCTCCCCCGTCCCCAGGTTTGTGGGTGCCGGACCCCGCGGCCGAAGCTGAGCTCAGCCCTAAGCATGCAAAGGCCCCCTCGGCACTTCCGGATACCCCAAATTAAACTCGGGTGCGGGGGAGGAGATGCTTACGGGTCTCTTCGCTGCCTTCTTCGCTGTCTTATCGTCTGGTTTCCTCGCACCATCGGGTTTTCTTTCGCCCTGTTGAGAAACCGGGGGTACGGAGGGAAGAGAGGGTCCTGCCGCCGCCTTTTCCCTCCAGTTAATTAGATTTTTTTGTAATAATTGGATTTTTCGGGTTAATTGCAGCAGTGATGGGAACATTGTTGGTGGGTTTTTTACCTGGATTCTGCTTTTAAATCCAGTGCTTTGAAGAATTTGCTTTCCCTCAATTCCTCGGGTTATGGGTGTGGGTGAGAAGGGGAAGGGGGGCTTCCAGGACAAGTGTGGGTCATTCCTTGGGTTTCCCTGCCCGGGGTCTAGTGACTCAATCTGATTGCGGGTTTCATGTATAAAACCAGGGCCTCAGGCTCTCCCCGGATACGGGAGGAGCATTTCGAGGGCTAGGGAAGGAAAAACCCCAAGATGGAAAAGCAAATCCTGCAGCCTTGCCCTCACGGGGTGGGTGAGGCCGGGCTGGGGTCTCCGACGGGCCCCATTTTACTTCACTCGGGTCTTCCGTCCCTCGGAGAAAAACTTAACGCAGCAACAAGTAGCCGGGGCGACGCCGCCCTTCTGGGTTCCGCTTCTCCCCGGCGGGGGGACCTGCAGCTTCGGGCTCCCCCCGACCCTCGGCTCCGTCACCTTCCTCCACGCCCATCATTGCCGGGACCCCCGGCCACCCCCACTGGGGGCCCAGGCACCCCTGAGCCTCCCACCCTTCACGCGCCCCGGAATTTGGCGTAGCAAAACTCTTTGCGTGGGTCATAAGAGCCCTACGGGGCTTCAGAGAAACGCGATTTGGCTGTTGGGTTTTGTTGTTTGGTTGTTGGGGGCTTTTATGGGGTTCTTTTGTTTATTTTGGTGTTTTTTGTGGGTCTTATTGCTTGTTTTGGTGGAGGCTTTTCGCTTGGTTTTGTTTGATAGTTGAAGGCTTTTGTGTTGGTTTGGGTTTGGGTTTGTTTTTTTTTTTATACGTCTTTCCTTAAGGCAGAAAATTTAATTTAATTTTTATTAAAAATAAATAAATAAAAAAGGAGAGGAAAAAGAAAAAAAATAGGTAAACCCGTTTATTTCTCCTTGGGAGAGGAAGCAAAAGACACCCCGAGCTGGCAGGGACCCTGAAGAGCGTGGCCGGGCCTCCAACGCCCTGGACCCAGCCCAGCCCGGCCAGCGAGCGCCGCCCCGAGGCCACGGGCCCAGCCGCCGCCGGGGCGGAAGCAGCTCGCCGGGGCTCAGGCCGCTCCTGCCGGAGCCCTGACATGCAGCCGGCGGAGCTGCATTTATTATTTATTCCTCTTTTTAACATTACTATTATTACCGGAGCTGCAATGATTCAAGCGTTACCATAAAATGCGTACATACGCACACATCTCTTTGCAATATCACGGCGCAGTTCTGTGCCTGTGGCTGCTCTGTCTTTTCATGATGGAGAGCTGGAAGAAAGAGAGGAAAAGCCCACGCCGAGCTCTTTCCCACTCGCAGGCAGAGCCGTGCGAAGGCTGGAAGTGGGGCAGGAGGAGGGCTTAAGGCCAACTTTTTAATCTTCTTTTTTTTTTTTTCCCTATAAATGCGACAGGCACCTCCCGTTTGTAACATATTCTGTTTGGGAACATCCGCCTGGCTCCTAAGGAGCAGACACCAAATACTCCCAAAGGCTAATGCTGATGAATGGGAACTGTGCAAACCAGCTGCTATAACCATATTTTAATAAAAATACTGCTTTGTGAAGATCTAAGCAAGTCACAAAGAAACCCGTAATGAGATCCTGAGATTCAGTGCCATTTCCCTTGGATGATCTGTAATAGATTCTTCTATTATGTACGTGCGTGCGCGTAATGGATATGCACACATATATACATTTACTGATAAATGCTCACGCAAACACTTGAAATCCAGCCCATCCCAGCCTATTAATTATTTTAGCACTTATTCCCCTGACAAGCAGAAGTTATCTTATAGCCCGGACATCCATTTGCTGTCTAAGAGCTCCAACTTGTCTTTGATGTCTGAATTTAAAATGTCTTTTAAAACTTTAGCAACAGCCAGAAGGGGAAAAAATGCATTCCATTACCTTAAAATGTTGTTCCAGCCCAAGAATTAAACCTCATACATCATCTACTTAGATTTGGGATTCTTTTTCTTGTTTCTCTCTAAACCCCCCCCCTTACTGTTATTTATTTTGCACCTAATCGTGAAATTAAATGGCACATGCAGTTTTGTTTTTCACCCTTATCTTGAGTGCTTTGCTTTATTTATGTTTTCAGCCTGCAACTTAGGGGCGGGGGAGGCTCCATTTCCAAGTTGCAGCATTGAAAGCTCTGCTAAAATATATTCCTCCTGCCTGTTTTGTCTGAAAGAAAGAGCTTTTAGTAGGACGAGTTCAAGTGTGACCACCACTTTTGTTTTACAAATTGCATTGGTATAACAAGTGAAGCCGTGGGGCTGGAGGCTTTTTTAATCTTCTTTGTAGGAAATAGAAAATATCAACCAATAAAAACTATTATTTGTCAAATAAAATCCCAACTATTATTCGACCAATTTAAATTATTATAGGAGTGGTGCATGTAAGTACAGCAGGGTGCAGGTATGCCTGCGTGCAAACACGCATCACATATCCTTACTAGAGGTATTGTAATACTATAGGTCCCTCATGTGTAAACCTAATTGAAGTTTTATAGCAGACTTTAAGTTCTTTCCCTTTGCAGGCTTGATTTCAACTTGAACCTGCCTGTATTTGTGCATCAAAAAGGAGAGAGATGAGGATTTGGGGAAATAATGGGGAAAATTATATTAATTTCCACTTATCTCCTGTAACAAAGGTGCGGAATCAGACGATTGCGATTGAGAGAGCTCTGAACTCACCCAAATTAAACCACAACCGCCCCAGGCTGACAATATTCCCCCCAAAATACCCCCCCTTCTATTCTCCTTCCAGAGAAGGGAAGGTTTGGGGGGCAGGTTCTTGGTGGGTTGGTTTGTTTGTTTGTTTTCGGATTCCGCCCCGTCTCCCCCCCCCCCCCCGACCTGGCGTAAACTGTTTGAAGTTCAATAACATGGCTAAGTTTTATTGTATTTCCGGTACAATAGATTTATATAGCGTCCCATCCCGGCTCTTAAGGCTTTTCAAACCACATGAAGTTAACTTATAGTCACGTTTCTGGCTCCTCCGGGCATCCATTGGACTCAGAGGATGTGTTTCTTCAATGAACTTTTAAACTCCTCTAAACTCACCCTTTCGGGCCGGGGCTGTGTCGGCCTCTTGTCCTCCAGCCTTTATCATTTCTCTTGTTCACTCTGTGTAATTCTTTAATCCGCTTAAGGATAACCCCCCTACACTCCCCCATCTTACAAGGTAAGACACTGACTTTATATTATATACATAATATCCCGATGGGCTGGGGAGGTCCTGTCCTTTTTTATTCATTTTTCCCTAAATGGGAATTTTGGACTTTTTCCTGCCAAACTTCCCCCGCCCCCCCGCGGAAGTTACTCGGAGCTCAGTGAAGCCCCCGGGGCCCGGCCCCTCTCCTCAGCTTTAATTCTCCCTTTTATAACCACCGAGTCATTATTTTATAACATGAACGCCTTGGAGAGAGGAAAGGACCCAGTAAGTTTCTCTGTGTCGCTATTTACACCTATAAAATAGTCACAATGACGCTTTTTTCTCTTGCTTTAACTGATTTATATGTTCTTGATTCCCTCCCACCCCCTTCTTAATTTTTTTGCCTTTAAATGACTCACGTTATACTTGCTTTCAGGGGAGGAGAATAGGAATTCATTGCTTTTATTCCGGGAACTCACTGATTTAACTCTATTCTCTGCGGAAAGTTATTCAGACACTGTCAGGTTTAGATGGGGGGAAAAAGAATCGGGTAATGGTGTTTTAATACGAAGTCTTGATAAATCAGCTTCATATTGGAAACGATCCTTTAAATTAGCTTCCCAAGGAGGTGGAGGAAGAACTTCAGGGATTTTTTGCTCTTTTTTATAGCTGCGATAATCGCTTGTTTCTCAAAGTCAATAGCATTTTACTGTTTCCTCTGGTCTATTTGTAAACTATTTGTAAAGTCCTGCAGGAGGGATCCGCTCCAGACACTGTACATAGGAAATCAGATGAATAGTTTGCTCCGCGCAGTCCGAGGGGTTTTATTTCGTCTCTGAAAAGGTCCTTTTGTCGCTTTTGTCTCCAAGCAACTGTTCGCTATTGCAGAAGTTCAGGTTGGGGCTGATGCCGGACAAAATGGCCGCCCGGCGCCTTTGGGGGGGGGGTTCTGTAGGGGTTAGCCTTTGACCCAGGGCTGCGCTAGAACTGCTCGGTGAATTAGGTAGTTTCATGTTGTTGGGCTTTTAATTTTAAACACAAGAACATCAAACTACCTGATTTACTCCAGTTATCCTCCTCGCTCTGTTTGCTGAGGGTAGTTGCCCGGGAAGGATGGGGAAGGGGTGGCAGTCCTGTATCCCCCCCTCCTCCATCCCCTGGACGGCACCGGTACCGGGCTTGTGTCCCCCACAAAATCCGTCTCAGCCCCGGGCCCGTGTACCCCCTAAGCCTATTTTAGCATCAGCTCCGGGCCTGTGTCTCCCCCTAAATCGTGTTCCCCCCTCTAAGCCCGGCTGAAACTCGCCTCCCCCCCCGACTTGGGGGTGACAGTTTCTTTGTTTAAATCCCCGTTTCAGGGACCCTTTTGTGAAACCAGCGCAATCAGGCCCCGAATCATCAAGAGCGTATTAAGGCTCTAATTAGGCTGCGGTGCCTCTCAGAGGCAAACACACACCCCCACTCCCCCCCCCCCCCCAGCGACAGGCTCAGCAGCGCAATAAACTCTGTGTCTCGCATAAAAATACATCATACACACCTCTATAAGGACGTTTAAGTGTGTCTTAGCTTAGTAGTTGTGATCTACACCTCCGCATGAAGGATAACATGTGGGCTCAGAGAACAAAAAGA